CCTTCCTTCCTTCCTTCCTTCCTTCCTTCCTTCCTTCCTTCCTTCCTTCCTTTCTTTCTTTCTCTCTCTTTCCTTCTCCCTCCTTCCCTTCCTTCTTTCCTTCCTTTCTTTTTCATTTGTTCTTGATAGACTATAGTGCTAGGAGTTGAACCCAGGGCCTTGTGTACTAGGCAAGCAGCCTACCACTCTGAGCCATGAGTAGCACTCATTTATCAGCTCTGATGCTCTCCAGATCACGCCAGACACTGAGATGCATCTGCTCTACCTGTCCACAGAGGGCTTGTGATATACATAGATGTATGTATGTATGTATATATGTACACATGTATAATTTATATATAATTATGTATGACGTAAACATAATTTATATGTGTGATACAAATATAACATGTATATGTGTATATATGTACTATATATGTATACATGTATATATTACATGTATATACACTAGATATGTATATGTGTGTATTATACATGCATATATGTATAATCGTGTATATTATGTATATACATATATGTAACTATTGACCTTTAGGCCCAGCCTGAGCCACTGAAGGTGCTCTGCCTTAGGTATAACTGTCCTTTGTGGGTGATGAAACGGCAACTGACTTACCATCCCAAGCATCAAACATGTCTGTAATGAAGTAGTCGATGAAGGAGATCTGGGACTTGGGGATGCTGCAGGTGCTGCGGTCAAACACTGGCATCACGACGGGAAGCCCCTGCCTCTTCTCCTCATCAGTCTGTGAAAAACACAAACAAAATCACCACTGCCCAGGGCTGCGGGGCACGGGAGAAATGGTAGCGACGTGTTTCTCAGAAGGCCAGAATGTAGTTAGCACTTTCCTGCGGTGACCCAGAGTGACTGTGTTCAGGTCTCCTCACTCTCCCCCTCCCCCCCCTCTCTTGAATCCAGGACCCAGAGGATGCTAGGGCAGTGTTTTCCAGAGAGCTGAATCATCGCTGGCCCTAATTTCACGGTTTGCGCTCTGGCGCAGCTCTCCCTGAAGCACTGGTCTAGTGGAATGGAGTCCCTTTTTCTGTGATCAGCTTTTACTTTTGTAAGATCAGATCTTCATTCCTACTCAGCCCACTGCCACTAACAGACATTTGCAGCAGAGGTCAAACTGCCAATAGCCCCTGAAACGAGGCGCTGCACACACAAGTGGAGAGCAGAAGCCACTGTGTCCCTGACTGTAGGCTTGCAGGTTTTCCTTTGTTTGTAACTGTGCCAGTGCAGCTGTGGGAACGGCCTGTTTTCTAAGCCTTAGCCTTTCGGTATGTCTGTTCTGCACGACACAGTGGCAAGCACAGCTCACTCAGGGCACCTCCAGGACCAGCACTGAAACAGTTGCGCTGTGAGGCGAGCGTGCGGCTCTTCCCCAGGGAGTGCTGACGCGCAGCGCTCGACATACACGGATCTGAGTATACCACATGCTGCAGTGCATGCTTCTGGCTGGACTCCTGCAGCTGAATGGTGAGAACCACGTTTCCCGGTAATGTCTGGAATTCACCACAGGCTTCATTCGCAACCTCATTTTTAGGTCATCCTGGTGTTACCACTGCGTTCTTGTTAGATGGGTTAACAGTGGGACACTCTCCCAGCGTCAGTAACCAGGAGTAAGGCTTGATGTTCTTTCCACGTGGGTTTCGGGAAGCCCACTGGTAAATTCCGGCTCAGCTCACTCCTTTGATCAAATAGCCTTAAAATAGCCACTGGTGTTCTTGGAGGACTTTGGTGCATACTCCCTTCCTCTTCACTCCCTCAGCTCTCCCGCCGCTGTCCCCCCTCCCTGACATGGCAAGCTCAGAGCTGCCTGTCATATTCTGCCACCCCTGCCCCCGCTCCCCGACATGGCAAGCTCAGAACTGCCTGTCATATTCTGCCACCCCTGCTCCCCCTCCCCGACATGGCAAGCTCAGAACTGCCTGTCATAGTCTACTGCCATGCAGAGCCTCCCTCCCAGCCAGCCCTGTACGCAGGCAACGTCAGCTATTCTGTATCCTGCCTCAGTTCACGTTCTGGCTGGAGAGCACGCCACCCCTATGCGTTACTTACAGCTGTCTGCTCTCCACCTTCGAGGTCATATATGTCGACAGCAGTCTTTAAAGTTTTTCTTCTTTGAAATAAGAGTCTACTTCCAAAGACATCTGGCAGTTTGCTGTCTTCTGGAATTTTCTCTTTTTGTCCTGTTTTTACATTTCTAAGTTCTTCAAGAATATAATAACTCTATCACACTCTCTAAAGCCCCTTTTCCCTTTATCTAGGAAAAACCCTGAATTCCTCAAGAGTCTAACACTTATACAGCCTTAGGGGTATTTTTTGCTAGTGTTTGGGTATGTGTGTGTCTGTGTATTTGCTTACGCGTGTGTATGTGAGTGCTGTGTGTTTCCCGTATGGACGTGTGTTGCGTGCACACGTGCAAAATGAGGATGTCACGTGGCCTGCCTGTCACTTTCCACCTTATTCTCTTGAGGCAAGAGCTCTCCGAACCCAGAGTGGGGCTGGCACCCAGCGAACCTCAGAGCCCATCTGTGCTCCTGCACAGTGCTGGGGTCAGAGGCGCTCACGCGGCACGCCCTGCTTCTTTACATAGGTACTGAGATTCCAACTCAAAGCCTCATGTTTGTGTAGCAAGTACTCTTACCCACGGAGCCATCTCTCTAGACTCCTGCCCCTTTGAACCAAGGTGTGGGCCTACCTGTGTCTGTATCTGTCCCTGATTAAACTGTGAGTGACTCATGGGTAGGATGTGTCTCCCACAATAAATCAGGGACACAGCAATGTCAGTGAATACAGTTTCCCAGATCTCATGAGAGTGACCAGCACATTGGCCTGGCTCTTGAGAGAACCACAGACTCCTAGCCAGGGCTGAGAAGAGGGGTTCGCTAGCTGTGGAACCCACAGAGCCCTGGCCTTGGGCCTGTTCCCACGAGGGGAAGGACACTCCCCCATGGCAGCACACCTGTGCGAAGTACTCCTCGGAGATCCTTCCGGCCCACTCGATGCACAGGTCCAAGGGGCGGCATGGGTTGGCCACGTCAGCGCACTTAATCATCATGCGCTTGATCAGGATTTGGTTTTCAGGGAAGTTCTTCCCGGTAGGGTTGCAGTCACAGTCGCTGCCCTCACTCTGCGAAACATGATCGGGTCAGGGTTGGTGAGGCTTGCAGTGGCTAACTCACTAGGCGTCCAGGCTGGACCAGTGGAACTGTCTGTTCCTACATCCGTATGTAACACACTTGCATTAAAACCCATCAATATACTGTCGAATTTAAAAGGCCAAAGGCCCCTCTCACCACCCACCCACTCATCGTAACAGCTAGAGGCAATGATTGTTTTGAGCAGTTTTGGTCACCTTAAAAAGGGTTCTCCCTTTCTTCCTCTCCCCCGACTCCTCAGAAATGTCTGAAAACGCAACTTGCAGTTATTTTAAGCCACCAAAGGTAGAGAACGTGTGACTTTCCAATGACTTTTTCATTCATTTTCTTTGTTTCTCCTCACTGCCTACCCGTTCCCTTTTGCTAAAGGCATGTATGCATTCAGGTATTTTCTTGGCTGGTTCTCACGGAGAAATAATTGGTGTGGAGTGTGGACCATGTACATTTGGGCCAAATGCAGGAGAATGTGTGTTCAGCAGTCTCTGAGCACATGCTTGTACCGGAGTGTGTAGCTCCTGGTGGAATGCCCGTGGCCCTGGGGCATGTGACCAGGCATGCAGGCGGATGCGTATGCATTCACGATTACACAGAGCCTGGGAAAATGTTCTCAAAAGGCACCATCGGCTCACGCTCACATGAAACAGTTAATTAGCTCTCCGGAGCTCTGCCATGCTGACAGAGCGCATGACATGGAGTGCGATTTTGTTTTCAGGCTGGTCCTATTTGTTGGACCCCTGGTGGGAAGACTGTTCTAGAAGTTGTTTCCCCCATACCTCAAGAAGCTACTGTTTACTGTAGATGACATGTCAGCAGCAAATCTCAAGACAGAGCTGGAAGCATGGAGAAATGACCTCAATTCTAAATTCTACCAATCTGTATGGGTTTGCACTCAAAGCCTCAACATGCTGTTCCCCTCCATCCTTTATCAGGAGGAAAGCCCTGGCATTGTGTGGCGGAGTTCCTGAGCGATGAGGGTCAGCATGGGGAGCTGGACACTGTTCTTCTCCCTTGGCTGGTCATGCGATGGGCTCTACAGACGGCAGCCTCCTTGACCAAGTTATCTTTAGAACATTTAGCTACCTTTTTCACAGGGCTGGAAACTTCTGATTTTTAGGAGCTGTGGCCACTTTTATGGTTTCTGAGGAAAACTGATTTCATTTTAGTAAAGAATGAGTGTTTTGTCCTGTTTCTAAAGCCCAGATTTAAGGTACTAAAGCAGGTTCATGGAAAATTTCTCTCTTTTTACAATTTTTATTTAAGAAAAATTTGTATATATTTTGATCATATTCTTTCCCTGCCCAGATCCTCCACATTTCCCTACGGATTTTTCTTATTAGTTTGCCTTTATTTTATTTTTTATTTTTTAGAGGGGGAGGGTGGAGAAGAGAGGGAGAACATGATAAATTTCTAAAAAGAAAAAAAAACGTGTTTTTTGTTGTTTTGTTTTCTAGTTACTCTTCTGCTAGTTAGCTTTAACTGTCAACATGACACAACGTAGGATCTTCTAAGAAGGGAGTCTCGGTTGAGGGATTGCCCAGGTCAGCCTGCCTCTAGCCCCTCTCTAGGGGACTGTCTGGACTGTTAAGTGTTGTGGGAAGGTCAGCCTATTTTGCCATCCCACACAAGCGGTTCTGATCTATAAGAAAATTAGCTCAGGATGAGTGGTAATACGTCAGTAAGCTTCCTCCTTCCACCGTGTCTGCCATACCTCCTTGGCTGGGAGTGAGTTCCCTGGTCAGAATTAATGCTGCATCAAACAGCAAGCATTTCTGCCTTCGGTCTCCTGTCCTGAGTTCTTTCTTTAACTTCTCTCCTAGAGAGACTGGCCTAGAAGCCAAATAAACCTTTTCTTCTCTAATTTGTTTTTCATCAGGATAAGTTAATACAGCAATAGAAAATAACTAATATATTTGTTTCACTTTGACAATACTGGTAAGAATATAATTCTCTAAAGCATTCCCTAACTTTGAGATCCTAAGAGCTCAAAGAACAGAATAGAAAGAATGTTGGATCTCCTGCCATACACCGTTCATTCTGCTCACTTGTGGGTTCCTTCTGTTCCTTCTCTTTATCTCAGGGCCTTTCTTTTAAGAAATTGCAGTGGGCAGCTGGCAGCGTGTTCTCATCCCCAAGAAAAACAAGTGGCTTGACTCGCAGTCTTTTGTCAGCTCCAAGCTGACAATTGTCTTGCATTCAAGAGGGAGGGGCCCCTTTGCTGCCAGAGCAGGCTCTCACAGAAGCGCTGCTCTATCTTATCACATAGGAATGCTTACCTCAGCTGCCAGTGGCTTGTTGATGCTGTTCACAAATTTGTTCACGTGTTCAAAGTGTTTCGTCATCTCTGTGGCCAAAACCATGTCGATTATAGCCTGGCGCAGTGTGCGATAATGGTTCCTGAATCACAAGAAGAACACATTCCCTGTCATATCAGCCCTAAGTCAGAAGTACCTGCTGCTCTGCCTTCCCACACCTGGCACCCAGATGGGGCAGAGTCAGTGACTACTGGTCTAAGAGCCCATGTTGATGCCAGTCCCCATTCTCCAGTGACAGCTGATTTGTAGGCAGGCCCAGGAATGGCAAGAGAAAAGCAAGTCCACGTCATGGGGTGGGCGGTTGTTCCCACCCCATCCTTTGAAAGGACTAGGACAAAGGAGTGAGAGGAAGCGACAGAGTGGAGCCTGAGGAGGTCTGACTGTAGTCCACGCAGGCTGGTCCCCTCTGCAGATTACTGCACAGCTGCTTCTGATGCTGCTGAGGAAGACTGTCCTTTTACGTAATTCTCTAGCCTGCCGATGTTGCAGTGGTTGGAACACAAGGTTATCAGAGATTTCCTGTCTTTTACTTTTAACTTTAAGAGGAGGAATGAGGAGCCAAGCAAACTGGCTCCTGGAAAGAATTCTTTCTCGTACAGGTCCTCAATACCGATAGAATGTAAGTCCAAGTTAGAATAACCCTTCTTACAGATCTTACAGATTTTTCTAGGGCCTAAACTGACAAACTCAAGTAAACTCAAACTCAGTGTCATGAGGTCACTGACCACCCAGGACCCTGCTCGGCAACTTGCCGCCTGCTGCGGAAAACCCCCGTAGCCTGAGCACAGAGTTGCCGGTGGACGAGACTTGCGGCACTTCAGTGACATCAAGTTGCTGCCTGCAGATGGGAGGAAGGCTGCCGAGCTCTGGAGGCCTAGCAGCCGCGCTGGGGCCTCCTCATGAGGAGGCCTTCTTAGTGCCCCCCTCAAACGAAAGACGATTTCCAGACTCTGAGCCGCAGAAAAAAATGGGAAGACCCCCCATGGAAAGTAAAAAGTATCTGAGGGATTTCTTAGTGACCCCATCAACATTTAGGCAATACTTAACAAGCATTCCTTCTCATGGACTTCCTGAAGACTAAATGAGATTATGAAAACATAGCAGGGCCGTCTGCAACGCTGTTTCAGAATCTGGTGGAGTGGATAACCACTAGCTCCATTCCCACCTTCGAGTACCAGCCAGAGGGCGTTTAGCTCCCCTTCAGCTTCACAGACCTACGAGTGGGCGCGGGAGCGCGGTCCCCACAAACCTGTCGATATTCTTGAAGATGTTACATTTGGCGTCCTTGACCGTGAGCTGGAAGGCCAGGGCGGTGTGGTGGCTCTCCAAGACGGCGGTGTCATTGTAGAGCACGGCCAGCTCACTGCCTGCGTTGCACAGGAAGGAGTTGGTTCTTCCAGGGTGATCCACGTCATGGACCGTGGCAGCAATCAGCGCAGCCACCTCATCCAGGTGATCGAGGCTTCCCTGGGGCAGGGGAGGGATAATGAGCTTTACTCACAGGCTTTGGGAGAGCAACATCCATCTCTGTCTCTTGGAAAGGGGAGGGCTTGGGGCTGGAACCTTCAGAATGCTCCTTCAGTTTCCTCCAAGCCTTAGCCGAAAGGTGGCCTTGGGGCACACAGTGCCCCTGTGCTGTGTGTGTCTGTGTATTGGTTTTTGTTTTTGTTTTTGACAACATGAAAGCCAGAGCTGCAGTACAACACCTGAACTCTGTGTAGGGCCTATTCATTGGTTTCTCAAGAAAGAAGCCATGCAGGCCTTTTGAACTGCTGCTTTGACTCTGCCAGGAGAGCTAGAAAGTGGCTGGTGTCACAAATATGCCTTCCTTACCAGCTTCTGCAAGCATGTTGGAGGGCTCGTTGTAAGCTACACAGATCACTCAGGATGAATGGGGCAGTGATTACGGCAGTGAGCCAGGATCAAGGTGGAGAAGTTTATCAAGAACCCCCGGGGCTGGGTTAGCAGGCGGCAAAGGGAAAAACTCACCAGCGCTTTCACTGTGCTAATAATGAGCACAGATGACAGCAAGCATTTTTCTTAGCTTGTAAGTTGGTAGAAAGCTGGCAGGTGGGGTGTTACGTAAGTCACTGCGTTATGAATGCATTCAGTGCCAGATGCCTTAAAGGCACCAGGTATCATGCAGAGCGCCAGAGCTGAAGGGGTATAACGTGTGGGACAGGCAAAGGAGAGTCCAGATGTCCTGGGAGTGTAGGCACCAGGCGGGGCAGAGCAGGGTAGCACCGACCATGAACACTGCGATGGTGGGAGGGTTCTACATCTGTGGTGTGCAGATAAGCCCCATCACACATAGCTCCTGAACTTACAGCTATACGATGAAAGGAATGCTTAGTTTTATTTAATAGTTGTGCATGGTTAATGACTACCAAGCTGGCCAACAAAGGTCTGCAGAATTGCCAATGATGGCTTTCCTAAGAAAGTTATTTTTTTTATTGCTGAAGTATAATGCATAGGCAACAAGTGGCAAGAGAAAGAAATCGAGGCAAAGAGTCCAGATGAAGTTACTGAGGAGGCAAGAGAGTCAAGGTGGGTGAATTGTGAATGGAAGGGAAGTAGGCCTCTGGGAAGACTGACTAGGTAGGGTTGTCGGTGTTTCCAACCTGCTCTCAGAGTTTTGTGGGAGGGAAAACTGGGGGAAGAAGGTAGCCTGAAGCTCAGCCCTGTCCAGCTGATGCCCTCACAGGTCCTAGGGTAGCCCCTGTCAGTGCTGACTTGAAGTTATAGTGGGACTTTCTTGAATGTTCTCCCTTTTCAGGAAGGGAATCCCTTCCATCTTGAATCTTAGCCTCATAAAGATAGTAGGAATCTTGGCTTGGCCCAGCCAGCGTCAAGGATGCCTGAGTAAGCAGCCTGGCTGTTTGTTACCTGGGAGCTTGTGAGGTGAAGTCCAGAGTGACCAGAACATGAAAGCATGTTTGGCTCCCCTTCCCAGCTGGCAGAAAAGGCCACATAACCTGCAGGTGTAGCCTGCTACCTCCAAGCTCACCACCTGCAGCTGTGCCCTCTGGGCCCCACTGTAAGTGATCTCACTTGAGCAGTGAGAACACAGGGGTCCCTTTGCTGTGGAGCAGGTGGTGCAGCCATAGATCCAGTCCTGATGGTGGTCCCAGGCCAGCCTTTTTAAAGACTAGTTGATGGGAGAGATACTACATGGCTGGAAGATGCAGGCTGCGCTGTCTAGACCTGCCTCTCCTCCAACTTTACACTGATTTAACCCCAACAATGAATGAATGGCCTTGGAACTTCTACTGAGGTACAAATAATGTGATTTGTCCTATAGTTTTGTGAGCACTGACAGAGCATGATCTGATAAGAAATGGCTGAAAAGGCAAGAAGACCAGGCAAGCTCACACACAAGAAAAAAGTGAAATAAGGGCAAGTAGGAGGAGAGAGAGAGAGACTGACTCAACCCTGCAGCGGGTAAAACTGCAAGTCTCTGGACATGGCTACATGCCGTCATTGTTCTTTTTTTTTCTAAGAGAAATTGATCTGGATGACACAGGATGGCTCCAGCCTAGGTCAGCCTTTCCAGCCCTTCCTTATTCAGATAGTCACTGTGGCCTAGATAATAAACGTAGTGCTGGCTGTCCAGGCCTATCTGCTTGCAGTAGGCTTCAGGAACCAGGTGGGAGCAGCCAGAGCATGGCCTGTAACAGCATGCGGGGGTCTGGCCACACTGGCACACTGTCTCTGGCTACGTCACTTTGTAATGGGAACATTAAGAATTTTAGCATTTGGTTAATATCTGACAAAAGAGACTTCAAAGCCAATCAGAAGACATAAAGACATTACATACTTATTAAAGAAAAATCCCACCAAGACGATATTGTAATTCTAAATATTTGTATACTAAACATAAGCAGACCCAATTTCACAAAGAAACACTATTACATCTAAAGTCCTGTGTCAGTGCTAGCACAGTGCCAGTGGGTGGCTCCAGTCCTGTTCTCATCAGTAGGTCACCCAGACAGAAACTAATAGACTCGAGTTAAATAACCGCATAGGCCGGTGGGGCTACAGACACCCCAGAACATTCTACCCAAATAGCGAAGAACACACGTTTTTCTCAGCAGCCCATGGAGCTTTTCCCAAAATAGATCGCATATCAAGACACAAGGCAAAAGTCATAACAGATAGAGGAAAACTGGAATAAAGCTGAATGTCAACAATAGAAACAGCAGAAAGTACATAAATTTATGGAAACTAAACAACACAGTACTGAGTAAAAATTGTGTCACTGTAAGAAAACTTATAGCTTTTTAGAATAGAATGGACTTGTAAACACACACTAAAATCTATGGGACACAATGAAAGCAGTTCTAAGAGGAAAGGTCATAGCATTGCAACATTGAAAAAACTGGCAAGATCTCATATTAATAACTTAATTATACACTTGAAAACTTTAGGAAAACAAAACAGACAAACAAACAAACACAACAACTATTAAAATAGATGGGAAGAAATAATCAAACCCAGGGCTTAAATCAATGAAATGTAAACAAACAATAACACACACACACACACACACACACACACACACACACACACAATCATTGAAACAAAGAGTTGGTTCTCTGAAAAACAAATCAGAACAGACAGAACATTAATTGCATTAGCCAAAAAAAAAAATACTATCTTCAACATATGGTGCTTCAAATGGGATGAATCTACATAGAACTCAACTCCAAATGGATCAAGGACCTCAAAATAAGACCTGATACCCCGAGTCTGATAGAAGAGACAGTAGGAAATAACTTGAACTCATTAGGACAGGAAAGGACCTTCTGAACAGGACCCTGATAGCATAGCAATTAAGAAAAATAATAAATAAATAGGACCTCATGAAGCTTCTGTATAGCAAAGGACAACATTTTTTGAAGAGGCAGTATACATAATGGGAAAAACTACATCTGATAGGCTGCTTCCAGACTACACAAAGAGCTAAACAAACAAATATAAGAAAACAACTCAATTTTTAAAATATAGCATGGAACTTAGGATTTCTGTTACTGTGGTAAAACATTGACCAAGAGAAACTGCGGGGAGGAGAGGGTTTACTTTATAACTCTCAGGTCACACTCCATCACAAGGGAAGTTAGGGCAGGAAGCTAAGGCCGCTGAGGAACAACTGCTAACCGGCTTTCTCTCCAGACTTGCTCAGTCTGTTTTCTTATGTAATAACCAAGGACCACCTACCCAGGGGCGGTTACAGCCCCCTGTAGGTTGGGACTACATCTATCAATCATTAACCAAGAAAATGCACTACAGGCTTCATACAGACAATCTGATGGAGTCATGTTCTCAGTTAAGATGCCCTCTTTCCACATATGTCTAAGGTTTGAGTCAAAACAACTAGGAAAGAACGATTTTAAGCAGAAGTCTCAAAACATGAATCTCAAATGGCTTAGAAATACTTAAAACATGTTCAATATCTTTAGCAGTTGGGGAAATGCAAATTAAAACTACTTTGATATTTCACTCAGAATGGCCAGGATCAAAACAAATGACAGCTCATGCTAGCGAAGAGATGGGGAAGGGAACAATTATTCATTGCTGGTGGAAGTGCAAATGTGTAAAGCCACTATGAGAATCATTGTGGGGTTCCTCAAAACGCTGAAAGTAGATCTACCAAAAGATCCAACTATACCACTTGTGGGCACATACCCAAAAGGTCCTACTTCTTACTTCAGGGACATTCGCTCATCCATGTTCATCACTGCTTTGTTCATGACAGCAGGAATTTAAAATAGCCTAAATGTCTACCAGATGATAAATGGATAAAAAAATGTGGTTCATTTACATAATAGAATATTACTCAGATGTTAAGAAAACTGGAACTGGCAGCCAAATAGATTAAATTAGAAACAATCTCATGGGCAGTATAACGCATACCCAGGAAGACAAGCATATTTACTCTTACATGTGGAAGCTAGCTTTTATACATTAGATATGTGTGTTTCATGTAGGGTTAGGAGACAAGTAATAACCATCTTACCTGACTAGGAATGAATGCTGTGAACTCTAATAACGACCCTCCTGGCAAGATATGCCCACCGATGCAATAGTGGCACGTACTATGGGAATAACCAACCTCTTTTTAAAAATTGGATTTAAGGCTCCATCCATAAGATGAAATGCATAACTAACACTGTTAATGAGGCCAAGAACCTGGAATTAAATAGATAGTGTGACTTGAGGGAAATGCTATTACTAATATTCTGCTAAAAATCATAGTAATAAAGTGATCCCTAATGACGTATTGGTATATCCATAAGTCAGCGCATCATTTGGCCTCTATCAGAGAAGGTGCTTCTTGCAGTAGATGATAATTAATATAGAGATTCACTACTGGGCAATGTACAGAGAGTACGGTCCTTTGTAGCATTCAGCCCTAAATGAGATGTCTGTACCACACACACGCATACCCTCAAGACTCAGGGATTTATGCTGAAAAGGAGACGGAAATGTGAAGATAAATGTGGTGGATAACATCAAGGAAAGAGTGTTTTCTAGACACAACAGGGTAGATGCACCTACGAACTCGGAGACTGGGACAGCTGGCACAAGACCCGCACAAGTTCAAGCCGAACAGAATGCCAGCACAGAGAAGGAGAAGTGGACACAACGTCTCCCCCTTTCCCAGGAAGTCACTCACAACTCATTGCTGCTGGGTAGGGATAAACTAGTTTCTCCAATGGGTTGGGAATGAGTATATCAACCATATTCTAGGGCCCTTGAAAATGCTGAAATAGAGAATAGAGGGCTAGGAGAAATTTCTGTGTCTCTAACGCTCAGTTTGGCAACAACAACCAAAACCTAAACCCTGTCATGGCAAATGGGTTACAACATTGCTGTTTTCTAATGTATTACTGAGGTGGAGTTCTTGGATCTCCACCCTGGCAGACAGCTACAGTGATGTCTGAAGTCTACCTTCACTCGTTCCTTTCCGAGGAAGAAAGCTGTGGCATGCAGGACATCAGCAGCATGGGTGGAATTGTGGTAGGCGTTGGAGGAGTGGTAGTTGGCTTCGATCACTTGCAGCCAGGCCCGAAGGGTGGTTTCAGTACAGTTTAAAAATTCACATACTCCAAACCGAGAGAAGACCTTTAAGCCCAAGTACACCAGAGGCCTGAAAACAGGAAACAAACACCCGTTCATGGAGTTCAGTGGGGCAATATCAAAGAGGAGTGTGTGTGTGTGTGTGCATGCGTGCATGTGTGCATGTGTGTGTGTGCGTGTGTATGATCATCCAACATGCCTGCAGCACAATTGCTTAACCAGATTCTTCCTAGTAGTTAGTGCCTCATGTGGGTCAATCCAGATTATTTTTAGATTATCAGTAAATCAGAAAATCTCTGTTGGCCCCTTCTACCTCTACTTCCATATGAACCCTGAACATGCTTTATGGCCTTAAAAAGAGTCTGAGGACAAAAGGGATGGTTTGGATGGTCTGAGCAAAGTTATCTCACTTAGAGTGGTATTGCTTTATGGATGTCATTCATATTCTACAGACCAACATCCCAGGAAGAAATAAGTCTTCTAAGACAAAAGGAGCTACTTGACCTGCAGACAGGATGGACTCAAAGAAAGTCTGTGGTGCTATCAAATCACATGTAGGGTAGGGGGAAAGGGAGGGAGGGAGGGAGGGAGGGAGGGAAAGGGGAACATACACACTGGTCTTGAGTCCCTGAGCTCAAATAACCCTTAGTCAGTCCCACCTCAGTCTCCCAAATTGCTGGCATGTGCCTCTGGACCTGATTTCCAATTCATTTGTGTAGGATAGAAGGGATGAGAAAACAGAATCCTGGCTCAGGGTAACAAAGGAAGTAGATGTGAGGTAGTGTGTGCCAACCCTGCACCTCACCACAGACACACCCTCTCCAGGCAAGAGCACAGTCAGGACACGTAAGTCCATCAGTTTCTAGATATGAAGGCCTCCTCATGGCTGCCACTCCCTCCCAGCCCTCAGCCAGCAATGTCACACACCGTTTATGGGTAACTGCTTCCAATTCAAAGACGTTGAAGTCCCAACTCTCCTCGTTGTCGAGTAGCTGGGCGACACTAGGGGGGACATCATTGATGGCGATGGGCATGGAGAGCTGAGTGTGGCTCTGGTGGACATCTGAAGACATGGGGTGGAGGAGGTGAGTTAGCTGTGGATTCTTTGCTGTCCTAGCATCTTGCTATCTTTAGGGTTGCCACGAGAAACACAACCTTCAACTTCCTTTGGTAGGGAGATTTTAATACTGGGGCTCTTCTCGTGGAAGGAAATCTCAAGACCATTAACAGAAAAGCAACTCTAAGGCCTGTGTAAGGCAGTGCTCTGAGCAATCATTTTCATCAGGTTTAGTTTCGGATGAAGACCATAGAGAGGAATAAACTCATGAGTCCAACTGCAAGCAACACCAAGGCCTCCAAGGAATGGTTGCGACCTAGGGGTGGCACAGGCTGCAGCTGGTTATCGGTGACAAGTGGCACACGACTACTTACTCTTTGTAAACACATACTCATTCCCTGATAATCTTCTTAAGCCATCCTGGAAGAAAGAGATACTGTTAGACGCATGGTTTGTACCCGCCGTCAGGCTCTTAACCTCTTTCCATAGCCACAGGCTGAGTCCTGACTAACCTGAGCTGGCTACAACTCCATGACAAGCAGAATTCAAAATGAAGTTGTAGCAGTGGTTGGAGATGGAGGATGCGCTTCCTTCCATAGTGTTAGTCCCAGGGGACCATGGGGGTGAGGTGAAAGTTGTCATGAGAGCTGGCAGGCTTCACGCCTGAGGTACAAGCTAGCTCAGTTCTCACAGCCCCTTTCTCTCCTGCCACTGTGAAGCCACACAAGCAGAATGGTCTTGTTTTGGATATGTGTGATTTTGATGTGTCCAAAGGCCCTTAGTACTGAGACATTTTATGTTCTCAGGTGTAAACTGTGAAAAGTTAAAGAGCCATATTTGGGGGTTGGGGGGAGAAACCTTGTAAAGTCTTTCTTAAAACTGTAGCTTTTTTCTAACTACATTTTCTTCTGGGAGGCAGAAAACTGCTGAACTTTGAAATAAGTGTTTCTGGAGCTTACGTTTTGAAGACTGTGATGGGTAATCTTGATCATCAACTTGGGTGAGTGGAGAGCTATGTGGACTTTCCCTCTTCACTTGCTGACAGGTGAGGTTCAAAGCCAAAAAGAGTGCAACACAAAAGGGTATGGTGGACCTTAGACTCTGACCTCTGGCTCCACAACCCAGCACGTCTCCAACTTCTGTTGCTCATAGTCCTCCGCCCCAACCCTTGAGCCCAAATGGCTCCATCCTGCTTCTGTGTGATTAGAAATAGAACGTGGCTGTGAACTTCTGAAAAGACAGGATTCTGTCACTGGGGTCTGGAAACAGCTATGTCCAGGCACACACCCTTCTATTATACAGTCATCCCTAGAGCTCGCAGGGACCAAGCTACAAAAGCAAGCCTGTCTCAGTGAACCCAGCTCATAGGGACCAAGCTACAAAAGCAAGCCTGTCTCAGTGAACCCAGGCAGCTCAGCAGCCTCTGTAAGACGGCACCTTGACTGCATACAGTAAGTGCACACCCTTCCGTGTGACGTTTTGGGATTGTTTACAGTATCCAGCAGTGCAAATGCAGGTACATTTTCATACAAATGTCCCCTCCTTTTCTCTTTCCATTTCTCCCCTTTTTCTCCCTCCTCCTTCCCTCCCTCCCTCCCTCCCTCCTTCACCCTTTCCCTTCCTTCCTTCCTCTTCCCTCCCTCCCTCCCTCCCTCCCTCCCTCCCTCCCTCCCTC